CCCTAGCCCCTGACTACCAGGGAACCTCCACAGGTCCCCATGCCTACATGGAGGCATTATAGACTCTAACTGCCATGCAAATCACCCACTTCTTCCATTGTTCTGGTTTTTTCCTAACGTCTCTATCCTGACTCAATACCTGCACTGCAGTGTCAGAGAGCAAGTTCCCATTCTTCTGCCTCCCACCAGATGGAGCAAATTTCTTAGTCTGTCTTTCATTTCTTTTGTCTTATATTTTGTTTCCAATAAAAAACAGTGAATATATTTATGTGAGAGTTATATTGAAAAATTCTAGGTGGCATACTGGATAGAGTGCTGCCATAAAGTCAGGAATACCCGAACTGTCATCTGACCTCAGACACTTACTAGCTGTGTGACCACAAACAAGTCACCTCACAGGATTGGTGTGAAGATATAACAACATAATATGCAAAAGAACTTTGCAAACCTTAAAGCTAAGGTGTTATCACATCCAGCAATTTTGACCATTGCTTCAGGCACACAAACATACTTAAATGGCCTGTGGCCTTGAGGCCACATGTGGCCCTCTAGCTCCTCAAGTGAGACCCTTTGACTGAATCCAAACTTCACAGAACAAATCCCCTTAATAAAAGGATTTGTTCCGTGAAGTTTGGATTCAGTCAAAGGGCTGCACTTGAGGAGCTGGAGGGCTACATGTGGCCTCAGGGTCGCAGGTTCACCACCCCTGTATTGTGTCCCTTGAGGGTGTGTGTGTTGGGGGTGAGGTGGGGATTGATCCAGAGTTTGCGAAACTGCCTTAGTGTAACAAATCAAGCTTGAGATTAACTTGGAAAAAGAAAAAAAAAAGATTAACATGGCTTGATTCAAATATCAAGTTAAATGCTAGGCCAAGGTTTTATGAGACTGCTAACTGATTAGAAGTTTCTCCTACTACTCTTGTTAGGCCTGATGGGATCCATAATTCCTTCCAGAATCTGCTTCCTAGTGTCCTCTTCCCAGGCATTCTCTCCTTAGCTTGATTATATTATTCCTCTTATTATGCTTATTTGTATATACTTCACCCCACCCTCATTAGATCATAAGCTCCTTGAGGTCAGGAACTGTAATTTTATCTTATTTTTAATCTTTGTCTTCTCACTTAAATAACATAAATAATCACTATATTATTTCTATTGCCATAGGAGCATAGATTCAGAAATGGAAGAGACCTTTTAGGCCATCTAGTCCAAACTCATAATTTTATGTTTCAAGAAATGGAGTGCCATAGAGGTGAAATGCCTTACTTAAGGTCGCAGTATACATAACATAATGCCTGGCAAAAAAGTAGGCTCTTAATAAATGCTTTGCCCATGCCAGGCACTTTCATTCTTTAGCAGCCCCTGTTGCTGGGGATCCTAACCTTGCCCCCTTTCATCCTAACAAATAAAATTCACTGGCTCAGCTCACAGGATCAAAATCCCAGATTTGGAGCTGGGAGTAACCTTAGTGGCTATTGAGTTCAACTCCTTCATTTTATGGAAACTGAGGTTAAGACAAGTAAAGTGATTTGCCCAGGTTCACACAGCTAGTAGCTGTCTGAGCTGGATTCAGAATTCAGCTCTTCTTACAAGTCCAGTGTCCTCTCCACTATGGCTAGCTCCACCAACTTCCCTCAGGTTTCTCTCATGATTCACTCATGAGAGTGAATTTCCTTTTCTAGTCACTCTTAATGCTAGTGCCTTTCCTCTGAGATTATCTCCATTTTATCCTGTAAGTATCCTGTTTTTGCATAGTTGTTTACATGTTGTCTCCCCCATTAGACTGTGAACTTCTTGAGAGGATGAGTTTTGTTCATTTTTTGTATTTCCTTTCTTTGCATCCCCAGTTCTAAGCATAGTGTTGATATAATAGGTTTTTAATATGTATTCATTGATTTGACTCAAATCCTTTCTCTTTCCCCCCTTCAAAAGTCTATTCCCTTCAGTTTTATAATATAAAACACTTTAAATATACCATAACAATTACATTCTTCACCAAAAGTAAGAGGAAGGTCATACTATCAGAAAGGAATGGTCAGAAATATACTTTAGGTTTAGAAGTCAAGCTGGGCAGAAATTTTTCCTAGAGAATGAGTTATTCTCTGAGTCATGGGAATTTAAGGTCATCTTCCCTATTTGCCCCCAAAAGCCAATGTGGTAGAAGGAAAGGACTACATTTCCTCTGAGATTGTGGACCTCAAGGATGGGCCTCATTGAAGTTCCTAGGATTTCAGTTCTTATGAGATGGTGTATTTGTCACAGAGAGTGATTGTAGAAATTGAATCAAGCCTTTCTAGGTCCTTTTGGACCTAGATGTAGTCTTTCTCATGATGAAAAATGATATGCACAACCAGAGAGAGAACTGATGAACTCTGAGTACAGATTGAACAATATTTTTTTCACTTTCTCTATTTTTCTTGCTTTTTTTTTCAATATGACTAATATGGAAATATGTTTTGCATGACTTGACAAGTATAATGGGTATCATATTGCTTGCTTTCTGAATGGGTGGGGGAGGTACTGGAGGGAAAAAGAGAATTTGGAACTCAAATTTTTTTAAAAGAATGCTAAAAATAAATAAATATAATTTTTTAAGAAAGAAAAAATGTCCTTTCCCTCAACTGTACCCCTATTTTTATTCAGGAAACTATTTCTACCTTCCTATGTTATACCACACTTGTATTTTAAATCCATAACAAGCCCTCAGCATGCATGATGGCCCTGGACAGATGAAGCACCTTCAGGAACTATCTCCTGGGCAGTAAATGGGTAATGAGGTAATCTTACACTAGCTTCAAGAAAAGTGTCACTTGAGTCTGGTAGCTAAGGGGTATAACTTCAGAATTAGGATAGGAATGATGACAACAAAAAACTGGCAAGACTTCATAAAGAATAGATGATGCCTGACAAACCTCTTCCTTTTGGATAGGGTTGCAAGTTTGGTGGATGAAGGGAATTCTACTTTTTTAAATGTTACTTTTATTCTGAACTTAAACACCAAGAAAAAAGAGCAGTTCCGTACACATAGCAACACACACACATACAGAAGAATCTCCATTTCATACCACTTGCTTTTTTAAAAAAAGTATGTAATAAATTCTATACATTACTTTCAAAACTGACCATTTTTTGCTTCCTTCTGAACTTACTTCTATCCTCTTTGCATTTTAAAAACTGTTACAGTGACCTCTTTTTGACATCACTTTTGCTACCTCCCATTGAAAAATCAAGAGAAAGAAAGGGGGAGAAGGAAATCCTTTATAAAAACAAGTACAATCAAGCAAAATTAATCCATACAGTGGTCATATCCAAAAATGTATATCCTTGTCCATCTCTTATACATCAGGAGGTAAGTAATATGCTTCATCATAGTTATGAAGGGAATCCCATAGTTATACTTTTCCTAGACTTTTCACAAGAAGTATTTCACTTTACACCAATGGAAGGAGTACCCATACCAATAAGATCACAGATCCATCAAAACATGTTTTCTACACCTTCTACACCATATATATCCAATTGAGCATCTTCTTCAACATTATTATTTTGAGAGTTTACTTTAATTGCTGGAATGTGGCTAGATAACAGTTCTTTGAAGGATTGTTTTTTAGTAGACCAAAAGCTCATTATGAGTCAACAAGATACTATGACACCTGGAGCTTTTCCATTTTTCACCCAAAAAGCTAATTCAAACTTTAGGTTGCATTAAGAGAAGTGTGGTGTCTAGAACAAGGGTGGCGATAATCCCACTCTACCCTGCTCTGATGGAACCCATCTAAAGTGTTATGTTAACCTGCAAGATCTTTACTGAGGTAGGCTATATATACTCATAGCTATATGGGGCCAGGTAGGAGATAAGTCTTTTGCCATTTCTTCCACCTGACTCTCTTGGAAACAGCTCCAAATAGTTTTCATGTTTCAACACCAGAAAGGAAGAGGAATGGGTCACCCCTTTGGTATAGCCACAGAATTAGCAGCCAATCAGAGGGTCTCAACCCAGTAATGAGTCATACATAGTCAGAAGCAGATAGAATCCTAACTGCCATCTGCACATGCTCAAGACTCCAGTTCATTTCCAGGAATAGCAACTGAGCATGCTCTAAAAGGGGTTTCAGAGAGTACACCCACTACAAAAGGATGACATTGACAAGTTGGAGAGTATCCAGAGGAGTGTGATTAGAATCATAAAAGATGTTTCATTCATGCCATATGAGAATTTGTTGAAAGAACTAGGGATATCTAGCCTGGAGAGGGAAAGACAGGAGGGACTTATTGATTGGTTTCACATCTTTGAAGGACTATCATGTAAAAGAGGGATTAGATTTGATCCTGCTCTACTCCAGAAGGCAAAACTGGGAACAAAGGGTGCCAATTACAAAGGGTAGATAATGGACCACTAGAAAAGAAAATCCCCTAATAAGTACAGCTCCCCAGAAGTGGAAGGGACTGCTTCAGTCATGGATCCCCTTTAATTAGAGATCTTGCCCAAGATCAAACAGCTAGTAAGTAGCAGAACTATGGCAACAATCACAAGCTTTTAGAGTTGGGAGAGATATTCAGTCCCATCTAGTGCAACTGGCTAGACAACAGCCCTCTCTGCAACATACCCAACAAGTAAGTGGTCATCTAACCCCTACTTGAAGAACTCCAGTGATGGAGATTTGCCACCTCCAGGAGTAATCCATTTTACTTTGGACTCTTTTATTATTAAGTTTGTCTTAGGTCAAGTTAAAATAGACTTCTTTGCAATTTGACCCATTGCTCAATTCTTTTCTTTTGGGCCAAGCAGAAAAAAAAGCTTATCTCCTTTCCCTTCAAATACTTGAAGATAGTTATCATGTCCTCCTCTCCCTCTCCCTTCTCTAGATAAAATACTCCCAGTCCCTTCAAATGATCCTCATAGAAAACTAACTCCTTACCCTTCGCCAGTCAAGTGGGTCTTCTAACTTCAAGTGCAGCCTACTTTCCACAGTTATTGTTGCTTCATTTTCATATCTACAGGACCAGAAGCCTCCAGAGGAGACCCAGCCCCCATGAAGGTGATTGGAACTCTGGGGGAGTTAGTCACTTTCCTCCTGGAAATTCCAAGGGGAGAGAAACTTGAGGATATTACCTGGAGCAAACAAGGTACTGTTACTGCAGTAACTCCAGGGGAAGCAATAAAAGTGATTGAGGAAAAAATACAGAGGCCGAGTGAATGTAATCAGCAGCAACTATTCCCTACAAATCAACAATCTGACAATAGAGGATGCAGGAATCTACAGAGCCCAGATAAACATAAAAAACTTGAATATTACCACCACCAAGGAATATAGCCTTCAAGTCTATGGTGAGTATCAAGCACTATCAGGCAGTTTCTACCTTAAGTTTTTAAAATAAGAAATCTATTTCTCTCTAGTAAATAACAGTACTCACACTGATTATGAGGCTGCATGTCTCAGAAGGTTACTATAGTTATGCCAACTGGGATTGAAATGAATTATAAAACAAGAGGGTTGGACTATATGAACTCTATTGCTCTAAATCCCGTTATTCTGGCTTGCAAAAGAGAGTCAGATTTTGACTGTCCAAAAATGGAATGGAATGGGCTGCTTCTCAACTCATTACTGTGACTTCTCTAATAACTGGAAATTGTCAAGTAGAGGCTAGCCATTCAGCAGGTATGTATTAGACAAGTTTCCTATTCAGGTACCAATTGAACTGGAAGACCTCTGAGGTTTCTTTCAATATGAAATACTCTATTCCCACTTTCCCCACCACATCTCCAACTATACAAATAGGGGTTTTGGAGTTGAGAAGTGAATTTTTAAAAGAGGAAGCAGTGGGCAGAGCACCCTGAAACAACTGGTTTGTACTCATAAAGAAGGAATTCAAATTAACACTAAGAATGAAGAATACTGCACCTCTTCACTTCCTCTACTTCATGAGATTAATCAAACTGAAACTAAAATGAGCCCTATCCCCTAGATGTTGATTCAGGGCTTCCCTGACTTCCTGAGCCCTTGTTTGCCTTCTCTGATATTTGTGCTCCTACATAAGGGTGCTGCCAAATATCCCATTTAATAAAATAATTGACATTTATGAAGGCCTTTAAAGTTTGCAGAATGCCATCACATTATTTCACAGTCTTATTTGAATCTCACAGTAACCCTTCAAGGTAGGTATTACAGGTATATTATTATCATTTTGTTGATGAGAAAACTCAGGCTCACAGAGTAGCTAAGTGGCTTGGCCACATACTTGCTCACCTAGTTTGTGAGTTTCCAAAGCAAGAGTAAAGCCAGAGCTCTATTCATTACAGCATGCCTCATGGGACTGCCTGGTAGTTCAGTTATCTGTTATCAGTTGACCAATAGGGTGTGGAATCTGGAGCCTCAAGGCTGTGAGAAATGAAAGAGTTAAGTTTCCACATAAGTAGATAAGAAATCAGCACAGACAGGCTAACTGCTCAGTCTGGGGGGTGGGGGAGTGATTACACAATTCTAGGCACATAATGTATGGTGGGGCATATAAGGAAGATTGTAACCCAGAAGGATTAGGACCAATCCTGGTCCAGAAGGGAGGAGTTAGGCAATTACTAACTATAAAGATTGCTCTGGCTTCTTTTACCATGCACATTTTCTCCCCTTCCAAGGAGGTGCGCCTGCTTCTTGCGAGAATCTAAATGACGCACTTCAACCTCTTTCATAAAAAGTCTTTGAGACACCAGTCTTTGGAACTGAGTATGGGGTCATCTTTATAACAAAGGCCATGTGTGGCCCTTTAGGTCCTCAAGTGCAGTCCTTTGACTGATTCCAAACATTACAGAACAAATCCCCTTAATAAAAGAATTTGTTCTGTAAAACTTGGACTCAGTCAAAAGGCCATACTCAAGGACCTAGAAGGCCACATGTGGCTTTGAGGCCACAGGTTCCCCACCCCTAGTTTAGACCAATCAGCCGAATCCATTGTCATGCTTATAGTTATGTATGGGTTGTTTGCCCCTCTGGGCAATAGCCCAAGATGTATTTTAAGTTCAAGGGTCTGCTTTCTACAATTTTTTTGCCTTCCCTTGTTGTCAAGCTGCCAACTCTATGAGCATGCTGTGTGCTAGGCACTGAGCTAAGAATTGAGAATACAAAGACAGAAATGATTTTTCCCCCTCAAGAAACTTACATTATATTGGAGAGACATCATATACATATATGAATGTATACAAAATATATACAAGATAATTGAGGGCGGGGATTAGTAGCTGGAAGGATCAGGAAAGACCTCTTGTTGAAGGTGCTTGCGTTGAGCTTTTAATACTGGCTCTATCCATTCAGTAGCTTAGAATATGCCTATGGATATACTTAGGCCACCATTCTGTTCTTCTAGTCAGAGCAGGTCCCTTACTTCCCAAGTCAAACCTGCCAACCTCACTCTCAAGGCCTCATGGGATAGGTCTGAAACTTCCCTTGAGACTAACAGCATTCAGCAAGTTCAGCAATGGGAATAGAAGAGTTTGATGAAAAAAGAAGAGTAAAATTGAGGCTGACTGATAAGTCATAGAGTCAGCTTAACTCTCATATCTTGTGACTCATATTTTGTGAGTTCCTGAATCCCAGCTAAGACATGTCCTTTCACCATTTCTCCTTTCATTCCCTTGATAGCGTCACTCTTAGGGGGTGAGCAGAGACAAAACTGGTGAGGAATGGAGGCAGGTGGATTGAATTCCATAATCCTGGTATGAGCAAACTCCTGAAACCCAGGTGTCTGCTCTGAGAGGGTGGGGAGAATGAGTTGCTGTTTCTATGGAGATGAGAACGAACTTGGTGAAACTGTGATATAGTGATAAGAACATTGGATTTGGAATCAGAAGACTTAGGTGTGAGTTCTATGTCTGCTAGTAACTATCAAGGCAAACTTTGACTGTCTGGGCCTCAGTTTCCTCATCTGTAAAATGAAGATATTGGACTAGATCAGAGGTTCTTAACCTGAGATCTATAGATCCCCAAGGTATCCTTAGATAGATTTCAAGGGGTATGTGAACTTGGATGGGGAAAAAAAAAATTACATCTTCATTTTCACTAACCTTTAACTGAAATTTATCATTTCCTTTCATTATGATTTTAAAAAAAAACAAACATTATTCTGAGACAGGGTCCAGAGCCAGACTGCTATAGGGTCCATGACACAAAGAAGATGAAGAATTTCTGTATTAAATGACCTTTAAGGACCCTTCCCTCTCTATGAGTTTAAATTTTTATCTCTCCTCTCACTGCTACCATTATCTCAAATTAAGTAATCAGTTTTTCTTGGGGGGCAGAGGAGGGATATGAATAATTTGCCTGATTTTTATTGCCCTCATGTTTTAATATTACCTTCCCTCACAAAGCAGCTGACAGAACCCCAAATCAGAATGAATTCCACTGTGTCTGAGGATGGCCATTGCATTGTCTTCCTGACATGTTCTGTGAGTGCTAGAAGAAATGATGTGACATATAGCTGGTCACCCTTGGGTCCAAATACTACTACATCCCATGGAGGATCTGTCATCCAAATCTCCTGGTCATCCTGTAATGCTGACTGGAACTACACATGCACAGCCAAGAATCCTGTAAGCCTTAAGAGCTCCCAAGTCACCCCTTCTTGGGATTTCTGTTCAGGTACCAACTCTTTCATTTGTCTTTCAGTGGCTCTCAGCAGCCCCTGAGCAGCTAGAAGGATTTGACCTTAGAATATTCTCAAGAGATTTATAAGATCCTGATCTCCAGCTTGAGCCCTACAAGGAAACCTTATGCCAGATGAAGTGCACAACCATCCAGACATGAATCCCAAGTGTCCTCAGAAAAGAAACTCTGTCCTACCCTTTCTTATTCCTAATTCTTCTCAAACAAGTTTTCACATTTCAATAGCTACAAAGACTCCCTAGGTCTCCTAGGAAATAACAGTGTGAGAACTCAGTCCAATTGCTTACATAGTTCTCAAAATGATCCATACATTAATTACTATAGTACTCTAGCATCTCAGAGGTCAGATACTTAAACAGGCACAAAACACAGTTGAGAACAAGGTAGAAAACAGCAGTGAAGACTTCAGAGGAGCTAAAATAGAGATCACAGAAGTCTATGTAGAAAATTCCAAAACTCACATTCTTTATCAATAGAAGATGCTTCACCATTATTCAGAGCCCATTTCCTCTATATCTGCACACAATTCTAACAAGCCTGGTTCTCTGGTTTCCTAGGCCAGAATAGACTGAAGAAGGACATTGAAAAGATAGTTTGGGTAGGGGTGGGGTGCTACTAGAGGCAACAACAATAAATAAATGACCCCTGGCAGCTTGACAACAAGGGTAGGAAAAGAAAATTGTAGAAAGCAGACACTTGAACTTAAAATACATCTTGGGCTATTGGCCAGAGGGGCAAACAACCCATATATAACTATAGAAACCATATATCATAGCCTGTGAATGTATCCCTGTATTAAAACCTCACAGAATAGTGGTGTATTTTCACAATGATGACCTTGATTCATCCAAAAAATATTCATTTGTGTTCAACATATTCTATTTACAATAGAAGAGAAATGGATAGAAGGATGGACTGGTAAAAGAGTGAAGGAGATGGAAAATGAATGTCTAGAATCAGGGAGGAAGGACTGAAGTTGGGGGAGGGAAGAGGGGTGCCTGAGAGTTCATAAGGAAGTCATATGACATAAAGGCGAAAGATAGCAATAAAGGCAGGAGCTGAGGAAGCTAGGGAAGGAGTATGGCCTAGACCTAGCCTGGCCTCATAGTGAAAAAGCCAGTTATGAACCACTAGACTAGAGACTCTGAATAAGAGCATCTTATTTTCAACTTAATTAACATTTTAAAGCACCTACTATGTGCCAAGCACTGTGTGAAGTGCTGGGGATACAAAGAAGAAAAAGAAAGATGGTCCCAGTCATCAAGGAGCTTACAATCTAATTGGAGGAAGACAGCACACAAAAGCAAATGGGAATGGAGAGGGTGACTATATACCCAGGGCTATCTTGTTCACTGGAGCTGAAATCATGCAGAGCAGTAGATGCAAAGTGGAGTGAGCTGAAAGTTCAATTCTGTCCTCTATAAAGGAAGGCTTTGGAAGGAATTTGGTACTTCACCTTTCAGCCCTCCAGTAAAAAGGGAAAGGTGGTCGAGGGAGGTGGTATCCAGGCTTAAGTTAGCAGCACGGTGATAAGATTAGCAATGATGAATTTATCCTCACCTCAAACCAAACCAGGTCTGGAAAATTACCTAAGGGTCAAAGAAAGGAATAAAATGAGGATGAAGGAGTTTTTATCCTCTATGGCCTGTGAGTGTTCCCTGGGAATAGGAATAACGTGGTAGATTATGGAGTTAAGTGACCATGGAGGGAAAGAAAATGAAGATGACCCAGAGGGAAAACAGCAACATTATAGGGAGAAGGAGACTCAAGGGCCTGGAGAGGCCTTGAAGCTCTGGACAAAGGGAGTTAATGCTTCAATTCCTAATCTGCCTCTATAGGGCCAGGAACCTCAGAAGGGAACTCAGCTCCCACAATAGTGATTGGGACCCTTGGGGGCCTGATCACTTTCCCACTGGAGATTCCATCAGGAGTTGAGAGCGTTGTCTGGATTTCAAATACTTCTCTTATCAAGACAGAACCAGGAGAAATGGGAAAGCTGAACAGAGTCAAGACCCAGAGACCTGACAGAGGCAGAGACCCTGCCCAGGACTTCTCCCTCCAAATTCCTAATGAACAAATGGAAAACCAAGGACTCTATATAGCCCATGTATGCACCAACTCCTCCAGAGTCCCAATAACACACCGGTATTCCCTACAAGTCTATGGTGAGTTTCAGGACTGAGACCGTGATAGTTAAGCTGTTTCTCCAAAAACTTTTTCCTGTCTTTGTTGCTTTCCCTCCCTGTCATCCTCAACCTACTCCCTTGCAGGAAGGATTATATGAGTACATTACATTGTATACTTCACACTATTTCATTTAATTGGCATTTGTTGGACATCCATTGCCCAACATTGTTTCTTACACAGGACTCTGGTTTGCCCCTGCTCTATTTTGTAATGTTTGTAGCTATTGCTCACCTACAGGAAATTCTAGAAAAAGAGAAATTACAGAATATTATCCTTCACAGTGTGATTGCTACTTGGGACTAAAAGCTTAACTTTAAGGGTAAGAGCTCACAGTTCTCAGAGTACTTTCTTCCCAATCACCAGCATGATGTGAAGGAAAAAAAAACTAGATTCATTCACTTATCTTCATCTGCAATATGAGAATTTTAGGACCAGATGGTTTCAGAGGTCTCTTTTGGTCTAAATTCTATAATAAAAATGTGTGAGGTAGACAGTGTGCATCAGAGGTGCCAAACTCAAACTCAAAAAAAAAAAAGATATCATTTATACTTTGCTGTATTTTCACTTATTTTGCTAAACATTTTTGATGAAATTTTAATCTGGTTCATGCCCCACTTGGGAATGTTGTTCCATGTGTTGGACATTTCTGGTGTACATAGTATTATACCCATTAGATAGATGTGGTAACTGAAGTTTAAGGGTCCTCAGTCACAGAATTAATCAGTGTTAGAGCCAGGACTTAAACACAGGCATTTGGACTCCAGGTTCAGGGTGCTTTACACTATACAACAGGAGAATGCCCCTCCTTGACTTCTTAAGGTTCAGTACCAAGGAGAATTCCTTACAGAGCCAGTCTCCTCCCACCCCCACCCCAGCAACCTACTTAGCTGTGAGGGGAAGAATTGTGAATGTGAGAGGCTCTGACTAATTCCTCCTTTTTTATTCCTTTCCCAGCACTTGGGAAGGGCAGAATGGGCTGAGATAGGGAAGATTTGGGTGTGTAGCTAAGATCGCAAGGATTTTAGATCTAGAGCTGGAAGAAATCTCAGGGACCATCCAGTTCAACCTCCTCATTTTACAAATGAGGAAACTGTGGCCCAGAAAAGTTAAGGCATTTTCATGAGGTCACACAGTAAGTGAGTGGTGAGGCTGAGATTGAGACCAAGGTCATCCAACCTCAAATCCAGCACTTACACTGCCTTTCATTTGAAGGTGTAAAGAAAAGAGAGACTGTCTACGTGTTGGGAGGACTGGATTCTATTCCAGCACTGCCACTAACGAGTCTGCCCTATGTCCTCTCTGGTCTTCAGCTTCCTCAACAATAAAATGTGGCTAGAGGATCTCTAAGCTCCTTTCCTGACCTGAAATCTGACCTTGTATTTGACGAGTGTAAAGACTCAAATTTTGGGGATAAGAATCCATTATATGGTAAAAAATTGTTGGGAAAACTGGAAAGCAGTCTGACAGAAATTGGACACAGATCAGTATCTTACATCATTTACCAAGAAATTCAATGCTTTATAAAATTTATGAAAGAAAAAGTCAGATTGTGGAGGGGAGCTGAAAAAATCAGGTTCCCCCAGTAAGGGAAGCTTGACTAGGTTTTAAGTTTCATTTATTTGTTTGTTGTGTTTATCACATCTTACTGAGAGGGTCTTTCCTCTCAAAGGAGAAGTTTGCCTTATTGCTCTGTTTATTTTCTCCTTAAAAAAAAAAAAAAACCAACAGTTGCTCTATTGTGTGTGAGGCCAAAAAGCAGCATGATATAATGAAAAGTCCAGTCACTTTATATACTGATTTGGGAATTGTTTTTTTGGACCACACATATTTATATGGAGGATTTTATTTCCTTTATTTTTATTTGCTCATTTTGAAAGGAGGACTAGAAGAAACAAATTATAAATGCTTATAAAAATATGTGTACATATTTTCTTTTTAAAATGAAGGCATTGGATGAGATTGCTTTTGAGATGCCTCCCAGCTCTAGAATTTTGTCTGTCTCCTAAGACAGCCAATTCTACAATTTGTTAGCTAGTAGATATTTGGATCTGGGTTTGAACTTATATTTTTTGGACTCCAGGTCCAGCACTCTGTCCATAGTACTTCTTAGCTACAGTTCCATATTTAATTCTCTTTTGTGTTCTCTTATATATGAGGTATCCCAAAAGTCTTAGCTCAGAGTTCAGTTTTAGCCTTTAATAGCTTATGGAAATATCCATTTTATTTGTTATTTATTAAGAAGAAACTAAGTGGCACAGGGGACCTGGAGTGATGGACCCAGAATCAAGAAGATGAGTTCAAATACAACCTCAGATACCTACTAGCTTAAACCTGTACTCAGAAGTTTTAACACCTTATAAATTGATATAATAATAATAATAATAAGTAGTAGTAGTGGTGGTGGTGGTGGTGGTGGTGGTATAAGTAATAACAGCAGCAGCAGCAATAACAGCAGCAGCAGCAGTAATAGCAGTGCTAGAGGTCCTCAAGTGGAGAATGAATGATCATTTTTATGCTTTTTTGTTGCAATATTCCTGAATAAGTCCAGGTTAAATTAGATAATCCCTGAGGTCATTTCCAACTCTAAAATTCTATGATTTCATAACAAACTGAAGCATGGAAAGACTTCTAAAAAAAGGGGGAGGGATTTTCAAAACATCTGGGGCAAGAGTTTCTAATACATTGACATTGACAGGAAAGAAATCAACAGGGAATTTGGCTCACCACTCCTCATGAGCCTATGTCTTTTCCCCTCACACAGAGCAACTAAAGAAAGTTAAAGGTACAATGAGCTCGAGGACCAATGAAAACCAAACCTTTACCATCACAATGACCTGTCAAGTGCAAGGTGACAGTTATGGAGACAAGGTGACATACAGTTGGACACCCCTAGGGGAAAGAGTCCTTGTGTCCCATGAAGGGTCTGTCCTCAGTGTTTCTTTGAGACCTGGGTACCATAAAGTGAACTACACCTGTACAGCCAGAAATCCAGTCAGCAACAGCTCTCACTCCTTCCCAGCTTGGCAGCTCCACCCAGGTAATTGTCCCCGTCTCCCCTTGTTCTGCTATGGTCTCTCCCCCACCTCCACCCCCAACCATCTTTGCTTTCTTAGACGTTCCCATGGGCTAGGGCAGTGGGGCTGATAGTTAGTTAGGAGTCCACTGAGCAGCAGGAAACAGGGAGCGGGGAGGAAGGATGAATATTGTAGGAGAGATGGTATTTTATAGTAGAAAGAGTGCTGGGCCAGAAGTTAGAAGACTTGGATTCATTTCCTGCACTATTACTTACTACTTGGATGATCTTGATTAAATCAATTCATTCTGGGTCTGTGAAATGAGGCAGTTGTACTAAATTAGGATTCTTAACCTTTTTGTGCATCATAGACCCCTTTGGTAAAACCTGTTCTCAGAATAATGTTTTTAAATGTATAAAGCAAAATACAGAAGATAAAAACACATAAAATAATGAAATAGACAAAGAAAATAATTATATTGAAATATGTAGCCCCCATCTCAAAACTTATTGGTATGGAACACTCTATTGGTGGAGATGAAAGCCCTGCCTATATGAGGGGTGGCTCAGAGTTGGCAAGAGGTAAGAGCTCCAGTCTTCTACAGTCTCCTTCAAGTTACCTTTGGGGACTCATCAAGTGGGATTTTTTCTGAGTGAGTCAGCTTAAATTTGGAGAGAAAAGATGGAAGAGACCAACCCTAATTCAGGTTGCTGAACTGGGAAGACATGAGAGAGCAGGCAGTCTCCATCATGTCCTATTTCTAGGTTGCTACTCTAGAGACTTCAGAGTTTTCCCTTGGGTGAGATGAAGGACATTCTTGGTTGAACTGAATTACCTCATTCCCAATGGGAGAGCTCCTTTATTCTGTTTTATCTGGTATATATCCTCATATGTTTACCTTTCCTAATGTCTATTCTGCTATGATTTGGATAAATGGGTTTCTTTACTATTTGTGATGTGTGTTCAAGGTGGAACTAGTATTAGGTGGGAAAGGGGTCAAGATTTAGATATAGAGCTTCTGGTCCCCCTTCCCCTCAAAATGGCAAAATGATCAAAAGTTAGATGGAACCAAATCATATCTCCTAGACAATATTTAGGGGAGCAGATAGATATGCTTCTAGTTTGGTATTTCCTCTCTCTGAGGAGAGCAGAATGGTGGTCTCCAGCCCCAAAATCCAGTTTCCCCTTCTGGCAGTAATGAAAATCTCCCTTGGAAAGGGATAGGGATATAGAAGAAGGTAGAGATGTCTATTCTGCCTCCATTTGAGTTATACAGGAACAACCTTTTTCTCCACATGGGAGCCTATCTATATATGTGGGGTCTACTGCATTGCTTACAAATATTATCAAATATTTTAAAGCAAGTTCATGGATCCTGGATCAAGAACCCTTGGACTAGACTATTGCCAAGGTACAATCCATCTCATGAGAGCAGGACCTATAGCAGGAGCTGTGGGGATGAGGATAGATTATAAATTGAAGAGGAGAAAGGATTCTGTGGATATTGTCAGAAAGAGGTCCTGATGGAGCCCTACCCTAAAAAAAAAAACAAAAACAAAACTCTTGAGTTTGGCAGAGGGCACCAGAGCCCAGGAAACTGAAATATTCTGACTGTGTGGCCAGCCTTGAGCATCCTCAAAGCCACTTATTTCACTTTTCTTTTTCAAGAGTCTAAGAAAAACAGAAAAGCCTGGTTAGCTCTCCTTGAGCTTCTTGGACTGGCAGTCCCCTGTTGGTATGTTTGGAAAAAGAAGAGACATGGTAAGTGTAAAGGCTAATAAAATGTTTATTTCCTCTTTTACCATCCTGTGCCTATTCATTGGGGAATATCTTTCTTTACTCTATGAAGTAACTTAACACTTTAGAATTATTCTCCCCTCCCACATTCTTCACTTTCTCCTTGCCTTAGATTGGGGAGGTGGGGGGAAAGGGATGGAGGAAAGAGTTGCAGTTCTTTGCAATTTCCTCAGCACAGTACCAGATTCTGATCTATCCTCCACCTCTGTATTCTTATCGCTACTCTGTTCTGGGAAGACCAGGTCTTCTACTTCTTCTTGGGTCCTATATGTCTCCCTATATCCCCCTCTCCTTTTATAATCCCTTTCTTGTCTACTTCACTATTAGAAAACTCTGAAGAGTGAAGGGGAAACCTCTCTCTCTTTATAATTCTTTTGGTTAAATATCAACTTTATTTTTACCAGGTTAGTGCCTAGATTGTTGCTCTACCCAAACCCAGTGCCAGACTCCTAACAAGTTATCAGGTAATGACACTAATTGGAAGGGCCGTGTGGTTGCTGCACCAGGGAGAGGTTTGCAGGAGGTAGAAGAGGAGGAACAAACATTTACTAAGCACCTACTATGTGTTAGGCACAAATAATATCTCATTTAATCCTCACAACAACCCTAGAGGTAGGTGATATTATTATCATCATCATTTTATGGAGTAGGAAACCAAGACAAACAGAGGTTAAGTGACTTACCTAGGATCACAAAGGTAGCAAATGTCTGAGTCTAGATTTGAACTCAAATCTTCCTGCCTTCAAGTTCAGGGCTCTATCTATTATTGTACAACCTAGCTGCCAGGGAGGTTGGATCTTCTAGGGAAAGGTTATTTGGAATCTTAGGTCTATGATATGGCTAGGCAACATAAGATGTGAATGATAACATGGGGGAGAATTGTGATGAGCATATCCATTCCCTGAAGGGTCTCTACAGTGCCCCCTCACAGGACTACCTACTGGCCCCTCACAATTCCCTTTATTGGAAAACAACAAATATTCACCAAGTTCTTATTATGTACAATTCACTGTGCTAAGTGTTAGGGATTTAAAAACAGAAAATAAACAGTTTCTTATCTCAAGATATTTACATTCCACTGGAGAGCTATAACATGTAAGCAATTACAAAATCATCTGAAGAGGGAGGGAAAAAATAATTGGAAAGATCAAATCCATAGACAGATTTGGGTGGGTCCATGAACTTGGATGGGAAAACAATGGCATCTTTATTTCAATATAATTGGTTTCCTTTGTGATAATGTAGGTTTTATTTTATGCATTTAAAAATATTAATCTGAGGACAGGTCCATAGACTTTGCCAGACTTTCAAAAGGGGTCCATGACACACAGAAAGTGATTAATAACCCCTGAGAGAAATAAAGCAGGCTCCTTGGTTGTGGGACTTGGAAACTGCTGGACAGCTCCCTGGAGCTAAGACTTAAAGGAAGATGCTGAGATGGGCTGGCAAATGTTTAATAATTGCTGGGAGAACATCCTTCACAGCACACTTTTAAGTTTAATCTGAATTACTAATGTATTCTCCGTCACTTTATTAAGTCAAGACAACTAAAAACTAAACCAAGTCCGTGATTTGTAGCATTTGCGAATTTCCAAGGTGTGATTGTTCACACTGAAAATTTAACAATTGGCTTTTCCTGGGCCAATCTGAGCCGGTTCTGGTATACCATAGAAGTTAGGGAGTGATCCCAAGAGGTGGAAATGAGAAGGGGTTGAATTCTAAACATAGGGCACAGCTTGAGAGAATAAATGGAGATCAGAGAGGGGATGTTAAGTTTAGCAAAATAGAACATAATCCAGTTTGGCTAGAATGGAGACTACATTAAGCATGGTAATGTGATGAATGAAAAACCTGAGAGACAGAGTTTCTGGGTAATTAATAATCAATTTATTAATTAGGCTAGCTGGCAATCAATAAATTGATGGTCAGTGGTTTTTCTTGGTAATCAAAGACAAACCCGTAGAGACACTGAATGCCTTAAATGCCTTTGTAAAAGGGAATGCCCCTGACAAGTGAAAATCAACCCTGACTGGTGAACATTTAATGAAGAGGCAGGCTAGGAGTCTTCAGCTCCTCCTGCTGAGAATGTGTTTTGGCTGCCTCCAGCCATCTGGACAGGAGAGTTCATCTCCATCCAGATCACTCTGGCTGGTTTTCTCCTTCATGAGTTGAGTTACCCTAAACTCTAATGGAGGGGTACAAAGACAGGGGCTCATTTCCCCAGGGTAAGAACTTGCCCAGACTAGATTCTGTTTACACTCTAAATGGAAGTTAGGTCTCCTAGTTGTGTAGGGTCCCACCCAAGATTGAGGAGGATGTTCATGTCCTTCAGAGACTAACTTTTTACGGAGGCTGGGCCTTAAATGAGGAAATAAAGGAGAAAAGCCTGGATCCTATTTTTTTAATTTAATTTTCCCCCACTTAATAGTATTTCATTTTTTCCAATTACATGTAAAGATAGTTTTCAACATTCACTTTTATAAGATTTTGAGTTCCATATTTTTTTCTCCCTCCCTCTACTCCCCCGCCCCAAGATGGCATGCAATCTGATATAGGCTATACATGTTCAATCATATTAAATATATTTCCACATTAGATATGGTGTGAAAGAAGAATCAGAACAAAAGGGAAAAACTACAAGAAAGAAAAAAAGAGAGAAAATAGTATGTTTCAATCTGCATTCAGACTCCATAGTTCTTTCTCTGGATGTGGATAGCATTTTCCATCATGAGTCTTCTGAAATTGTCTTAGATCATTGCATTACTGAGAAGAGCTAAGTCTATCAAAGTTGGTCATCACACAATGTTGCTGTTACTATGTGCAGTGTTCTCCTGGTTCTGCTCACTTCAGTCAGCATCAGTTCATGTAAGTCTTTCCAGGATTTTCTGAAATTTACCTGCTCATTATTTCTTCTTCTTTTTTTATTTTTAGGCAATTGGAGTTAAGTGATTTGCCCAGGGTCACATAGCTAGTAAGTGTCAATTGTTTAGTCTGAGGTCAGATTTGAACTCAGGTCCTCCTGACTCCAGGGTACCACCCAATTGCCCCCATCATTTCTTATAGAGCAATAGTATCCCATTACATTCATATACCACAACTTGTTTAACCATTTCCCAATTTATGGGCATCCCCTCAATTTCCAATTCTTTCCAACAGAAAAAGAACCTCTATAAATACTTTTATACACATAGGTCCTTTTCTCTTTTTTTTAATGATCACTTTGTGTTGCAGACCTAGTAGTGGTATTGCTGGATCAAAGGGTATGCACTTTTATAGCTCTTTGGACATAGTTCCAAATTGTTCACAACTCCACAACTATGCACTAGTGTTCCAATTTTCCCATGTTTTCTCCAACATTTCTCATTTTCCTTTTTTGTCATGTTAGCCAATCTGATAGGTGTGAAGTGGTACCTCAGAGTTGTTTTAATTTGTATTTCTCTAATCAATAGTAATTTAGAACAATTCTTCATGTGACTATAGATAGCTTTAATTTTTTCATCTGAAAACTGCTTGTTCATATCCTTTGACCATTTATCAATTGGGGAATTATATGTATTCTTATAAATTTGATTCAATTCTCTATATATTTTCAAAATGAGGCCTTTATCAGAAACACTGTAAAAAATTGTTTCCCAGATTTCTGCTTCCCTTCTAATTTTGATTGCATTGGCTTTGTTTGTGCAAAAACTTTTCAATTTAATGTAATCAAACTTATCCATTTTGCATTTCATAATGTTCTCTATCTCTTGTTTGGTCTTAAATTCTTCCCTTGTCTGTAGATCTGACAAGTAAACTATTCCTTTGCTCTCCTAATTTGCTTACATTATCGTCCTTTATGTCTAAATCATGTACCCATTTTGACCTTATCTTGGTATATAGTGTGAGAAGTTGGTTTATGCTTAGTTTTTGCCATACTGTTTTCCAGTTTTCCCAGCAGTTTTTGTCAAATAGTGAGTTCTTATTCTGGAAGTTGGAGTCTTTGGCTTTATCAAATAGTAGATTACCATAGTCATTGACTACTGTGTTTTGTGTACCTAACCTATTCCACTGATCCACCACTCTATTTGTTTTGTTTGTTTGTTTTTGGCTAGGCAATGGGGTTAAGTGACTTGCCCAGGGTCACACAGCTAGCAAGTGTCAAGTGTCTGAGGGCCAGATTTGAACTCAGGTCCTCCTAACTCCAGGGCCAGTGCTCTATCCACTGCATCACCTAGCTGCCCCAACCACCACTCTATTTCTTAACCAGCACCAAATAGTTTTGATATTTGCTTCTTCATAATACAATTTTAGATCTGGTACAACTAGGCTACCTTCCCTTGCCTTTCTTTTGATCAATTCCCTTGATATTTTTGACATTTTGTTCTTCCAGATGAATTTTGTTATTATTTTTTCTAGCTCTATACAATGACTCTTTGGTACTTTGATTGGGATGGCACTGAATAAGTAAATTAATTTAGGTAGAACTGTCATTTTTATTATATTATCTTGACCTACCCATGAGTAACTGACATTTTCCCAATTATTTAGATCTAACTTTGTGTGAAAAGTGTTTTGTAATTGTGTTCATATAGTTTCTGGGTTTGTCTTGGCAGGTAGACTCCCAAGTATTTCATATTGTCTACAGTTATTTTAAATGAAATTTCTCTTTCTATTGCTGCTGCTGGGTCCTAATTTAATAATTTGTTTTTAATATAATAGTAAAATAATTTCTTTCAGTAATCTGATATAAGGAAATGCAGAATCACAAATCTAGAAGCTAAAGGCAACTATGAAGTGATCTAATTGAACTCCCCTCACTTTATTCTTAAAGTTTTATTGATGTGCTTTATTTTACATTACATTTACAGACTACTCTCACTTTCTGAAAGTTCTCTTGCAACAAAATAAAGTAATTGAGCGAAACTAATCATACAGTGACTTCATCTGAAAATGCATGCAACATTTCACATATTGTGGCACTCTGCCTCCATGCTTCTCTATTTATAAATAATAATAATAACAGAGATCTATTTTCTCTCCTTCATATTGCCTTGCCCCATTGAAAAAAGAAAAAGAAAAGAAAAACAAATTCCTCATAACAAGTATGCAGTCAAATGATTTGCCTGTAGTCTCACACTACCACCCACATGAACCTGGGAATCCTGATTTCAGTTAGTGTTTTCTATCCGAAACACTGACTCCTAGTTCTGAATCACCTTGTGGAGAGTCATTGATAGAAGAATTTGGTTTGTTTGTTTGTTTGTTTGTTTTTAATCTCTAGAGGAACAAGGATTCTCTGAAGGTTTCTGAAGTGACATAATCAGACCCATGCCTTAAGATTATTCTAGTTGATAGAGGATGAATTGGAGAGAGCAAAGTGTAGAGGCAAGAAGACAAATTAGGAAGTTATTACCATAGTCCAAGCAAGAGATAACAAAAACCATGACAATGAGAGAGAGAAGGCAGTGGGGGCAAGGGGTGGGGT